GGACTCTTTGGAAAAGACCCTGATGCTGGGAAAGATGGAAGGCAAAAGGAGAAGAAGACGGCAGAGCATGAAATTGAGCAAACTCCGGGAGGCAGTGAAAGACAGGAAGGCCTGGCGCAATATGGTTCATGGAGTCACAAAGAGTCAGACACAACTTAACGACTGAACAACAACAACAAAAAGCAGAAAGCAGAAATGTTGTAATGGTATGTGGGAATGACCTTGGGAGATAGGAAAAGCTGCAGACTAGAGAACGGTCAGATAAGAGGCAGCTGAGCCCACAAAAGGAATGGGGGCCTGGCAAACATCTCAGAAGAGACCCTCCCTAGTTTCTCAGACTGTAAAGGTGACAGGGGAGAGATGCACTTTCAGACTTGCATGATTCTGTTAATGTAATCCTACAATAAAGATAGAGCTAGTACTTCTGGGTGTGCTTCTTATCTGGACTACCTCGCAAGGCTGACAAATGTACAAAAAGTTTCTAAACTCTTTGTTCAGGCATGCACTCTGCCAGGAGAGTGATGCCTGTCCAGCTGGCCATGAATAAAACCTCTTGCTGAGAAATCAATCCTGTTTGGAGTCTTTCCTTGGGGAGACCCCTGACCTGCGAACATTTTACCTAACAAGATAACAAAGTATGTTGTGTGAAGACAACCCCTAAAATGAAATGAAACTGAATGATGGTGAACTTAATACATCAGAAGAGTGACAGAATGGTTTCATTTATGGCACGATTGCAAGGCACAGTGTTGTCCACACAACAAAGAAGGAGTTGGAGAGGCTCGGCGAACAAATACAAAACTCTTAGCTTCAGAAACCTGTTGCAGAACCTTTGCAAAGCTTAAGCGTCATTCCTTTTTCAAAAGCAGCCAAAACCATGGTTCAAAGCTACTGTTAACGTTTGGCCATAAGTCAATAAAATTGTCAGTGCATTTACCTGCCCCAAAGGCAAAGAATTCTTCTCTGGGTGCAAATTTTCCATCTTCATCCAAAAAGTGGTTAGGGTTGAACTGTCGCGGTGTCTCCCATTGTTTGGGATCAAGCAGAACAGAGCACAGATTGGGGATTACCAGGCTACCCTGCAAAAGGAGGAGAACTCAAAACTATTTCTTAACTGCTATATTCACAAAGCATGCTTAGCTTGATGATGGACTTAATTCATTTTCTGAGGCTCTGTGTGTGTGTGTGCATGCGCACATGCGCGCATGTCTTCCAGTTAGTGTTAACTCCTGGTGACTGCCTGGACAAGCCTGCAGGTTTTTGGGCAACATTTTTGTCAAAAGTGGTTTGCCATTGCCTCCTTCCTAGGGCTGAGAGAAAATGACTGGCCCAAGAACACCCAGCAGCTTCATGCCCAAGGTGGGGCCAGAACTCACAATCTCCTGGTTTCAACTGGCTATCTTTCTGAGTATTCATGAACTATATACTACCCCATGGGTAGGGCTTGCACAGCACACTAAGCCACAAATAAACATAGCCAAGATTAAACTACCTGCATCGGCATGTCCTCATGATGCCTACAGCTGAAGCACTTAAAGCTGTCCTCAGCTGTTTGAGTTTCGAAGAAGTGTTTTTTGTCCTTTGGCAACAGGATTTTTGCCACGGGCATGATCTGGCAGGCTTCACTGGCCCCTTCGTTACTGACACAGTCAAAGCTTACATCTGCTCCTATTAGCCACCTCAGGCTCCTGCAGTCGTGCCTATCCCCTTCATTTTGGGGCATCTGCCTGACCCATGTTTTCCATAGAATTTATCAGGTCTTACCTGGGCCCATTATGACATGGAACTGAAACACCACGGGCTTAGTGCTCTCTTGAAAGAACGCTAGTCCTGTGCTGCACAGAAGGCGAATTGCACGGGGGGAAGTTGTACGTTGCTAATTCTGTCTTCTGGTAATTCTAAATACATCCCATAATTAAATAATTAAATAGAAGTTGTAATTCTAGATACATCCCAGGTTTTCTATTGCTTTGGCTGACGCAGTTTTTTGCACAGCTGCACTGTTATTCTGTACCTTTGGAATGTAAAAATCAAATATGTTCAAATCTGTTGTGCACAACGTAGACAGGGTGTAAAATAGGATACTGGTGAGGCGCTGGATTTCATGAATTACGGCCTGGGAATAAGGCAATTTCTTCCGATCTTCATAGCAGATTGTTTTGGAGGCATCCAGTGCATTTTCTATCTCCTTCCGTACTTTCTCTAAAAATAAAACAAATGTATTCTGATTGACAAGCAAGAGAATAACCTCTTCAGGGGACCCTCAAGAAACTAAATTTCTACTGAGTTAAAGCTCAGGTCAAATTTCAGTTTACCAGCTAATCTTGTAAAAGCTGTAACTAAAGGGAATATTAATGCTATTATGCATACTTGGATAAATGAAATGATAAATGAATACAGGTAGCCCTTGCTTAACAACCATTCGTTCAGCGACCATTCAAAGTTACAATGGCGCTGAACAAATGGTACTTATGCCCGGTCCTCGAAGTTACAGCTGTTGCAGTGCCCCTGCAATCGTGTGATCAAAATTTGGACACTTGGCAGCCTGCCCACATTTACAACCACACCGTGAGCTTCAACTCCTCCCATCTGCATATCTCCCCCTCTTCTCTGCCCTTTTGGCTGCCCTGCACCCCCACCACCCTGCCCTCCACTGACCCTGCCACCCTGTTGTCTTGCCACCCTGATGCCCCACACTCCACCACCTCTGCCACCCTACACTGTGCCACCCTTGCCACTACCGCTGCCATCATGCTGCACTCCACCCTGCACCCCCACTGCCCTGTACTCCACCATCCCTGTCGCCCTGCACCCCTGCCACCCTGCACTCTGCCCCCCGTTGTCCCCAGATGGCCTTCACTGTCTTCTTCCTCCCACTGTTGACGAGGTGCACTCGGCCTGGCCCTTCTCAAGGCAGCTGACAGCAAGGGTCAGTTGGGGGATCCAGGGCAGCGGAGTGCAGGGCAGTGGGGATTCAGGGTGGAGAGTTGGGTGGCAGGATGGCAAGGGTGGTAGAGCATAGGGCAGCCAAAAGGGAGATCGGCAGGTGGGGAGAGTTGAAGCAGAGGCGAGTGTGCCAGGGCAGGAGAAGCACGAGGTCCTCGCCTAACGATGGATAGTCCTAGCCTAACAACTGCAACTGGACTACCAAAACTGCCTTTGTTAAGTGGTGCAGTCACATGATGTTTCCCCAGCAGCCGTATCGCTTAGCGATGGAAATTCTGGTCCCAGTTAGCATCGTTAAGCAAGGACCACCTTGGGGATTTATTTTCCCACACACACAGCACCTTCATATCTTGGAGCTACTGCTTTTAAGCGTTTCCAGATATGCAAATCATATAGCTGCATTTCTGGAGCAGAACAAATTCTGGCTCCAAATCTGGCAACTATCCAACATCTTCAGGGGAGGCTAAAAAAGGAAAAAGGGAAATAAATATGACTCCAGATAAGGAACCTGTTGCAGTACAAATGTTCCTGCTCTGGATTCCAGCCAATTAATTATGCCTTGGTTTGCTTTAACTTTTCCCCCAAGGGTCACTCAACGTCAACTTGCTACTTAACTCAGTTGTTCATCATCATCATCTCCTTGGAGCACCACAGCCACTCAAGGTAGTGCCTCACTGGGGGATATGCTACCTGACTCTCGGTGATTCTGGGCGGTTTACAAAATGTTAAAAACATTTAAAAACAAGAAACAATATAAAAAGGCAAAACCAACCCAAAGCAAAAGAGCAGAAATTGCAGAGGAAACTAACCCAGATGGGAACAAGGAAAAAGAAGAAAGGGCAGCCATCATCCTCGCCTAAGGCCTGGCAAAGAATCAGGGCTTCAAGGCCCTTCAGAAAACCAGCAGGGTGGGGGGACCTTGTCCCGGAGCGCAGGCACTGCTACAAAGAACACACACTTCCGGGGTCCCAATAGGTAGCACTGTTTAATCAACGGAACCCGGAGTACCCCAACCCTGCCAGATCAAACTGGCTGAGCAGATATTCTGGGAGGCAGGCAGTCCCTCAAGTAACCAGGCCCATTGCCATGTAGTGATTCATAGGTAGTGACCACCACGTTGAATTGCACCTGGAAGCAAACCGGCAACCAGGGCAGCTCACAAAGCAGAAGTGTTACATGGGCATACTGAGGCATGCCCATCACTGCCCATGCCATCGCATTCAGGACCAGCTGAAGCTTCTGGGTCATCTTCAAGGGCAGCCCCATGTAGTGTGCATTGCAGTAGCCAAGCCATGAGTGATCAGGGCAGAAGTGACTGTCTGAAGGGATCCCTGATCTACAAAAGGGTGCAAATGGCACACCAGATGAAGCTGGGCAAGGACCTTCTTCCTGGCCACAGCTGCTACCTGCTCATCAAGCAGGAGCTGTGAGTCCAGGAAGACCCCCAAATTGTGGACCACCCTTGAATGAGGAACTGCAACCCCATCCAAGGTCAAAGTTGGAATATCCCCAGATCTGGACAGTCCAAACACCCACAGCCACTCAGCCTTGGTAGGACTGAGTCAGAGACAGTCCCTCCCCATCCAAACCCACACAGCCTCCAGGCACTGGGACGGAACCTCAACAGCCTCACTTGGCCAGCCCAGAATTGAAAGATATAATTGTAGATGTTGAAAAGGAGGGAAGAGAGAATAGAACCCTGTGGCACAAAGAAGGGCCTAGGGGATGATCTCTTCTTACCAACCAACACTGATTGGAACTGGCCCTGGAGAAAGGAAGAGAACCACTGTAAAATGGCATCCCCAATCCCCAACCCACAGAGCCAGCTCAGAAGGATACTGTGGTTGATGGTATTGAAAGTCACTGAGAGATCAAGGAGCACAAGGATGGATGCACCACCACCATTCCGGATCCACCACAGGTCATCAACAAGCATGACCAAAGTGGTCTCAGTTCTAAATCCTGACCTGCAATGTGACAAATGGGTCTAGATAATCTGTCTACTCTTATCTACTGCAGACCAACCACTTTCTCAACAACCTTCCCCAGAAAGGGAAGGTTGAAGACTGGTCAATAGTTATTGAACACCTTTGGGTCCAAGGACAGCCTCTTAGGAGGGGTACACCACTGCCTCTTTCAACCTCTGACTTTGGTTGTGGGAAGCTAGCCTTTGGCGTTGCCTCGCCAAAGGACCATGTGATTCAGTTAATGACAGCAACCAGGACTGCATGGATTGCTGTTGCTAAGCGATGCAGTCATGCTTTATGACCATATCACTTAGCAATGGAAATTCCGGTCCCAATTGCCATCATAAGTCGAGGACTACCTGTAATCACTGCCCTGCTCTGAGCTGCAGGAAGGTCTGGAGCCACAAAATTACCCTCACACCACAACATCTTTCCCTTGAAAGATATGCTAGGATGGGCTGAAGCCTGGCTGAACCTCAGAGTTCCTACAAATGGGAAAACCCAATGCTCACAATTTCTACAGGTTACAGTTGCAGCATTTAGAGGGGAAAAATAGATTTAGTGCAGTTTCAAGCACACCCCAGCTGGGTCAGAAATAAATTGGCTCAGAAGCCAGACACAGATAGAGATCACCTAGAAGCTGATTCTGGACTGAGTGCTACGTGGAAATACCCAGGGATGGAATAAGATTTCTATGTACACCCACCACAAAAGCTCTTCTCACCTTGAATATCAGGATGAACCACCATAAAAAGCAGACCCCAAGAAAGGGTGACAGCTATTGTGTCTGTGCCTGCAATGAACAAGTCAACGATAACTTGAACCAAATTGTCTTCATGAAAAGTAGATGTGGAGTCCTTTTTCTCCTATGGATCAGAAGAACAAAATTGAAGTCCAAGATGTTCAGAGTTATGAAGCTTTAATTCCAACTATTGCATTGCATTGTCACTTAGAAGGATGTATTCCTGAATTATAAGCCAAATCTATCCATGAGACAAGGAGTAGGACCTTCTCACAGATCTTAATACATAAGGTAGATAGTACTGGAGAAAAATCTTTTAGGTCCTAAGCCACTTAGGGCTGTGTAGACTAATGTTAATACTTTCAATTGAGCCTGATAGGTGACAGCAGGCATCCAGCCCTTTCAGGACCATTGATACATGGTTCCATTTAGCAACCCCACTTAGGGACTGAGTAGTCCCACACAGAGTTCATTGCAGTTACCAGATCAAGAGGTTTTTAGGGCATGGATCACTGAGGCCAAGCTATTCCAGTATCGTACAGTCATAGCTAGAACACCAGCTGAGACTTGGCAGATGGTCTCCCTTTCCCTAAACCTACTTGTACCTCTATTGTCAGACTGGATTCAAGGAGAGTGTTCAAGTTATGCACCTATTCCTTAGGAAGGAATGCTAGTCCAGAACAGGCCACTTGCCTCACTCCTGTCCTGAGAACTCCTTAGTCACAATACTTCTGTCTTATATGGATGGATCATATGGTCTATATTTCTTGGTGGCTGTTAAGCAGCTGCATGACCTTTCAGGTGGAAAGGAGAAATAGAACCAAATGCCAGTGACACTATATTCCAAATCTCTGGATGGTCACCCTAGAAGCTTCTTGGGTCTGAGCAGAAGTCTCCCGTTGCTACTCTCTGGGTGTTATTTATGCACACAGGAACAGATCCTCCAAAACACTCTTCCGTCCTATTTGCATAACTGTGTCTCCAGTGCCTAGGAAGTATCAAAATAACTGAAGTTCACATGATTTTGAATGTTGCTGTCCATGAAACTCCTCTAGAAGAGGTGGGCGAAGTCTGATTGTTTGGGGGCTACAACTGAGCCTGATGACCTTCCAAACAGCTATAATTACATCCAGTGATCTAATTATCATTAGAAGGGATGGGGGTCAAAAGACTTCAGCCAATTTTTTTCAAGGGCTTATGGATAGGCATGGCCTCTAGAACAACTTTTCCCATCCCAGACTTAGTCCCCCAATTCCTAACCAATGGCACCAAATTACACATTTTGGTGTGTTTTGGGTTGGGTTGGGGGGATTGTTTAAAGCAAGGATGAAAGCAATTTGCTTCCCAGGCACCTCCTCTCATACATTCCCTCTAAAAAAATCAAATAATGAACCATTTTGGAGAATTGGGGGGTTCAGAGTGGAAATGGGATTAAAGTTCCACCCTTATTTGCATCATTATTTTTTATTCCATCTTCCATTTGTTTTTAGCCAAATCCATTCTGCAAGTAACCATATGTTCATACTTTTTCACATTCGCATGACATATGATGACACTCCTCCATCCTTTCTATTCCAAGTATTCTTCCTGAACACATTGCACCCTTCAGAAGCTACATTCCAACTGTGGGAATTACTCTACCGCAGTGTTTCTCAACCTCAGCAATTTTAACAGGTGTGGACTTCAACCCCAAGAATTCCCTAGCCACACTGTGGAATTCTGGGAGTTGGTCCACACATCTTAAAGTTGTTGAGGTTGAGAAATCCTGCCCTACCAAGTCTCACAAACAGCCATTGTGTTGGAATTACCTCCCTGTCCCAGCAATTTGGATGCCTCTGTTCAATTTCCTAGTTTGTGTTTCATATACAGAGATATCAGAAACCTTGTTTATACTGTTCCATGACTCTCCAATGATTTGATTTCACTTGTAGGTGATTTCTGCCCTACAGGGAATTGGATCGTTTTAAATCTCAGTGGAGTCAAATTAAGTCTGAACTGCCATGTCTAACATAGCATGGTCCCAATAGACTTGCCAAATGTTTAGCAAATCTCACCTGCAATTGCAGACAAAACATAAGGGGCAAGCTCACACTTCATATGAAATTTACAGTTCATAAGTGCACAGTTAGATCCCAGTGTTGTATGAGGTCTCCTGCTCAAATCCAGGAATTCTAGTCCCCGAAGTGTTTCCAAAACATTGTTGCTTAACTATAAATGTTAGAGTGAGGACGAAATTATAAAATATATGGGCCATATACATTAACTGCATTGAATTTGATTCAGGTTGGCTTAAATTTAAACTAATTAAGCCAAATTCTGGTTTTGTCCTGGCCCTGCCCTCGCTGCTCCTGCGTTGGAAAGAAGTTTTGTATCCCTGTTCTACTGGGCTAATGTACCTAGCTGTAGATGTTTGGGGCTTGGTGATTCAAAAACTAGACAGGGCTGAGCAGGTGTTGCATATTAAAACACAGAAACTTACTTTGTCCATATGAGCTAAATAGAAGTCAATGTAGCTTTGTGGTTCATGAGATGCCTGAGAATTCTTATAATTTTCTATCTCCTTCTTGATTAAGGAATGTATACATTCACAGGAGGAAAGTGCCTTCTTGTGAGGCCCAGGGATGTATTGCACAAGTGAAGGGTAGATGTTATACATCTGCAGGGAGAGCAATAATCATAATCATAATTGCCAATATTGTTAATAGCTTGGGCATGTAATATCTAAGTGATCATGTGGAGTTCTTGGTACTCTCTGAGCTTGTTTGTTTGCTTGCAGACATTTCATCACCCAACTAGGTAACATCATCATGATTTTCCCTCTGTGTTGTAAGATACATTATCAATGCCTGATATAGATAACATTGGACAAGGTGGATCAATGAAGCATTTCAGGGAATTATAAGGCAGCACATTGTAATGCAGTAGGAGGGGAAAAAACCTCTTAATTACTTACCATCTCTCCAAAAGTGCCTCTGAATTTTGTAATATTAGTAATGTGTTCAATAAGCTTTTGGAAAGCATCATCCTGTGTGAGAACAGGCTGTCCAAAAACTGCTGCATGAATTATCTTGGAGGCTGAATGCATGATGGGCAATGAAGGATCCAAAGGTTGTCCTATACACAGAAGTTAACAATCTGTTACAAACACAACAGAGCAAAATGCCTACCATTGCTAAATAATGAAACAGTAGGCAGGTTAACCAGAGAAAGCCTGCCTCCCTAACCTTTCAACCATTAGCCTGCGTACCCTTTTTGTGGGCAAAGGTCTCCACAAGCTGACAAGCCTCCTCTTCTATGTGATGTTCCAGACCCTTCTTCATTTGTCCCAACTTCTGCAGGATAGCTTTTCCAAACTGTCTCTGCTGCTTCCAGGTTTTTCCATTGGAAAACATGATGCCTACAGCAAACAAGAACCATTAGTATGCTTTATTAGAAATTTATTCTTTTTTATTAGAGGCATATCCCACCTTTCATTCAGGAAATCAAGTCAGTGTACATCAGACCTTCTCTTCCAGTTTTTCCCCATAGCAACAAGCCTGTGAGGTAGGTTGGGCTGAGAATGACTGGCCCAAAATCACCCAGTGAGATTCAGCGGCTGAGGGTAGATGAAAACCTGGATCTCCCAGATCCTATTCAAACACCTTAACCACAACACTACACTGGATCTCAGCAATGGCTGGTCTACAGCAAGATCTGAGATCTGGTTTCCAAAGCTGTTTGACCTACCCATCACCCAAATCCCCATCTCCCCAAACTTTTGTAACCAGCCTGATCTAATCTTTCACCAAATATCATAAATATACATATAAAGTCCCTCTCATTTTATGTTGGTGGCAATAAGAAATAAAGATCGACCCCAATATAAAACAACTGGAAGGCAACAGACATGTATTTTTCTGTCCACTTACCCTTTTCATTTCCCAGAATTTTAAAGAAAGGAAATACTGGTCGCCCAGACATTGCTTCAAGATGGTCAATTAATCCATTTCTCACAGCTTTGAATCCGGTTAGTACAACCACTGGTATGTGTCCTATCCATAAGGTGAAGACGTCTCCATAACTGTTTGCAAGCTGTAAGTGGAGTCAAAACATCTGACAAAGTCAGGGCAGGGAAAGAGTTAAACGTAATGGGAAAAATATTGCTGCATTTCAAATATTTGTGGTTATTAATTTCAAAGCAACTGCAGATATAGTTTTTTCAGCCTGGATCAGAATTATAAGGGATGGTGGTTGGGAGAAAGTTTACTCTCTTTGACCGTGATATGGTTTGGATAGAAGTCAAACATACATGCATCAAAGCTACAGATCTCCATGGGAGGGAAACTGTCCCTTGTGCCAACATTTCAATGATGGTTTGTCTGCAGCAGAAGGTCCTGTGGAATTTGGCAGAGAAGGAAGAACAGAAGGAAAGAAAAGATGCCAGGATTATGTGGTTAGTTATTTAGTTAATTATTTAATTCATTCGTTGGTTGGTTTCATTTCCGTACTGTTGTGGGCTAAATGGTTGCATTCATTCACTGAAAATAATGAGATTTGAGTCTGTTCTTGAGAGAAGTAGTTGTCAGGCTGAAGATCATTTTGTTTAGTCCTACCTTTCACCAGCTTCATTTTTGTGTGTGGCTGAGTTCAGAACCACCTTTCTGAAGAATCTGGGCATTTCCTGGACAACGTTGCTCCACAACAATCTCGGCTGCAGCACTCAGGCCGAGCCCATCCATTTCTAAATCCAAAAGGAAATTTCTCTGTGCTTTGAAATCATCCAAAATCAGACTGATAGCTGCAAATGCAACTGATTATACAGTATTCTTCACAAGGGGGTCCATTACTCACACAAGGCACATTGAGTTAGCAGTGAGCAAACTGAGTACAGGTTTAGGAAGGCAAAATATAATTTCTGAAAGAAACTGAGTCTGTTTCTCAAGGGCTGAAGCTGAAAAACGAAGAGACCAAATGTTATAATCACCACTTACTGTGGCTTTGAAATGCCCTTTTGCATAAATGTAGGTTCTAATTATATTGTATATCATTCTTTTATGTTCTATTACTGTTTGACTCCAAGATTTGCAATTTTCCCTTTCCACCTGTGAATGTAGTCATACCACAAGACATTCCAGAAATTCTGGATTTTACTTGGATTTAAATTCCTTAGACACCTTGTCTCCCACAGCTCTCAGTATTCTCATTACCAGATTGAAGGAAGCAGCTATTGGGCACCCATTCTGGGACCCACCCGTTGTTCCTGCCCTCAGTGGAAGTTTTCCATCTCTGGAGATCAGGCACATACTGTCAACAATACCTGGAAGCAGGAAGAATACTCAGTACCAAAACCATTCTAGTTTGCAGACGAAAGGTTTTTCAGGTTGGTTGTTGGTGTGTATGTGTGTGTGTGGCAAATGAGAAGAAGTAATAATAGCTGGCAATGTTGCAGATGCTGAAACAGTGATGATAGCGAAGGGTAAAACACTCTCATCTATTTGGAATTTTAGCAGGAGTAAGAATTTTCCAGCTTCTGATGAAAACTCCGTTCAGCAAAGCATTCATCACAAAAGTAGTTTATAAAATAATGTAAAGGTGCAGTCTGGAGATCTGCTTAGTAAATATCAGAATTGCAAAAGAGCCTAACCTTGGTCGACAGGTTCCACAGTAGTTGAGGCTTCTACCCCCAGCCCTGCCTCTTGGAATGTCCCATCCACTTGCCCTTGTCCCCATGGAGCAGCCAATTGAAGGGAGGGAAGGGAGTGAAGAAGAAAGTGGTGGAGAAAAGTCTGGAAATTCCCCACAAACCACACACACATGAACACACACAGTCATGCTGATTCTGTGCACAGTCCCTGCCAGAGCAAAGCTGAGGGCAACTGAAGCAGAGACAGAGGTCTGGTTGCAAGCTTTAAATGCACAGAAAGTGTTTAGCCAAGCTAGGTGAAGATGAAGGAGAAATGCATTTGCATAACAGGCTATCTTTAGTTAATTCTCATGGCTTTGAATTTTGTTGGACTGTCCATTTGCTTAGTTTATGCATTGTGGGAACCCACAAATGGGCTAATTCAGTGACAGGTTAAATGTGCTGCCTGAGTGCAACCAATTTTGCAATCATGGAAGATCATTGTGATCCTTCTTCAATTTTCTATAAGAGAAAAAAGGAACAGTGGAGGGATTTCTCCTGCCATCTATGCTATCATTGGTCTCCCACCTCTCAGCCATAAAGTTATTTAAGGAATGATAGGCCATTCAGAATAGTGAAGGAAACACCTTTTTGTTTTGCTCCCTCTAACTTTGCAGTGTGTCTAATATATATCTACTGTTTTGAGTACAAAAAACAACAATTATTGTAGGATCAACAAAGAACAAAATATAACATATAGTTTTGCCCCATTTCTATTCAGCATCTCACACCACATGTCTTTCTCAATGCTGACTTTCCCCACTGTGGATTCCGTATCTGTCAGCCCTTTGAGGTAGGCCATGTCAGGAAACAGACATCCGAAAAATACTAGAACTCAGCTTCATTGCCATAAGCTATAATAACAGAGTCCTGAAAGCTTGACAGTGTTTCTCCTTCTTTCCCTTTGATACCAAAGACAGTCAAGGCGGAGCTATCTTGAGCTTTTCCCTCACCCCACCCTGTTTTTCTGGGCTAGGTTTGTGTTTTCCTAATGGCTGCCAGATGTCTTCTTCAAGGCTGCCTCCATGCTCCTCTACAACAGGATGCAAGTCATTCCAGATTCAGCAGCATAAATAAATAAATAAAGTAATGCCAGGCACCTTCATCTCTCCAAGTAACTATCGAATGTGCAAAGGGTAGTAGTAGGAAGTAAAGGATAAATCTAAAAGAGGAAGGTAATGACAAACAAAGACCATGAAAGATAAGGAGACTGATAAAACAGTAACAAAAGAGTTAAAGGAATGGTGATCCCACCAGCAATGTATGACTGAAAGCCGCCCATTGAGAAAGAAGGAGCGAAAGAAGGTAATTTTGGAGATAGTTACTACTGTGTGCTGCAAGAAGAACCAATCAACTGGTCCTCGATCAAATGAAGTCTGACTACTCCCTTGAGGTAATGATTAGCAAATAGAAGCTTACATCCTAAGTACATGTGGTACAAGCAGATGATGGACTAGACAAAAATATATAATCATGGTTGAGTCCAACTCATCTCATGGAATTTTTGTTCTGGGGAAAATAGGCAGGAGCATTATTACTTATTAGTATTAGTATTCGTTGCACAGCTTAGTTTCACAAATAGCCCTATTTTATACTAAATTGGGTTTTTTAAATTATTTTATTAATTTATGTTTAATGGCACTCCATGATTCTCTTCATCTTCTTCCTTTTTGACTCACTACAGATTTTTGTATCAATGTCTGATAGTCCAGTATTGTGGTCCTTGGGTTAATGAACTACTCCTTGCATGTCCCTTGTGATGATTTGTTTGAGGCCTCTGAGGTAGATGGAGCGATCAGGGATATCACAAGATATTCCTGGAAGACCTGTGGATTGTCACCAGGAACATATGTCTGAGAAAGATCTTAACTTATAGGTTAAGATGGAGAGCATTTGCCCATATGGTCACTAAGAGTTTGCCCAACTTTTTATTCTTGGACATAATGTGGCTTTTGGTTAAGGGAGCCTTCCTTCCTCCACACTCATGGTTCCAGAATCTATCTCTGTAAGTTAAGATCTTTCTGAGGCATGTGTAGCTAGGAAGGAAGATAGCCAGTTAGCTGATGTTGTTGCTAGCTTAACCTGCTCCCTCACTCAGTGTACATTTCTTAGAATCGTGAGCCCTTGCAATATTAAAGACTGGGGAGAGTTATTTTCTTTCCCATAAGAACTTTATTATATTATCTTACCAAGTACAATTAAAATAGAAGACAGAACAGAAAGTACAGCAAAGAAAGAAGATAGAACTAAAAGAAAAAAGATAAAAACTAAAATAGTGAGGATAGATAGAAAATTGAAACAGAAAGTGACTTCTGACTATCTCCAATACAGATAGAGACACAAATTAAAAAAAGTTAATTTCTTACCACAAATTTGTTAGGATTTTCTCATGGGAAGAAATTCATCTCATTATCTTCACATCAATGTTGTGTCTAGAGAAATCGTGTGACTTGTGCATTAGCACGTATACTGCTATTTACTGCCATCTATTGGCGTGTGTATGCTAGTTACCCAGTGGGGGGGGACATACTGGCAATATAATGGGAGGATTATATGCCAAGCCTCTCAGTAGAGTCTCAGTAGAGTTTTAGCCACCACGTAGTCGTTTTTATGGATTATGTAGTTGTAACTAATAACCAAGTAGTGTACCTCTTCTCTGAGAGTT